TACAAGCCGCAATAACTGCTTTCGCAGCCAAAGTGTAGAATGTTGTCATATTAAAAATTGAAACGCTTGATGGTGATGGAGGTCCCACGGTAGTTCACAACGTCCCGTTTCGGGAAAGTGCCGAGACCGGCGGAGCCAGGCGTCGGGGAGAAAATACTGCAGGTCTCTTGCTCGTCAGGTTCCTCGCTCTTTCCTTTCAGCGATGCGGAGGGATTAAGCCGCACAGCGAGAAGCCCCGCCGGCAAAACCCCTCCCGGACCGTGCTCGCTTTCCACACCGGCTCCGCGAGCAAACCCGCTGTGGCTTCCACTCGCGCCCGCGGTCTCTCCAGCTCCCGGGACACCGCATTTCGGGGGGGAAGTGGCTGAAACACGGCGCCTTAATCCCCTCCGGGACATGGGGGGTCGGCAGCCGAGTCCCACAGTGCGCCGGGATCCTCTCGGCTGCCGAAATCGGGAGCGAAGCCCCCTCCCCCGCTCCGCGAATCAAAGCACCTTCCGAGGGGCTGGGAAGTAGTTGCCTTGTCATGTAACACATTGCCCTGATTTATTATAAAATTTTAACGAAATCATGCATATTTCAACAGCCTTTAATCACTGCATGAAAATTTAATTCATGAACTGTAGCGCGTTTAAATAAATGAAGTGTTAATTCATTAGGATTAATTAATTTGTTAAAGGATTGTGTGCAAGGTTAAGGTGGAAGAAAAACTCTTTTGTTAGTTTCGCGTCTTAATCACCAGGTTTTGTTAACAGCGAAGGGGGGGGGGGAAGGAAACCCGCCCAAGGGTCTACGTGGGGAGGGGGTGCCAGAGGTGGGGCCAGAGCCGGCGGCTGGACCGAGTCTGCTTCCACGGGGGGACCGTAACCTCGGCCTCCTGCTACCTGTTCTTCCCTAGCTGGGATCGGGTCCCCGTGCCCGTGCCGGTTAATTAACTGAATCCCAGCAGAGCAGGTGGAGGCGGGTGCCGAGGAGCCCCAGGCGGGAGGGACGGTGACAGGCGCATCCCCTCCACCACACTCTGAGCAGGGATGAAGGCTCCGTGCCGCCCTCCCTAGCTAGGAGCCAGCACGAACACTTCGATCCCCTAAAAATACCCCCCCCCCCCAATCCCTCATATTATTTCCAGTGAGGTCTGGATCACCCATCTAGTCCCTGGGTTTCAAGGAGAGGATGGCCTAAGAGAGGGACAGGGACCTCTTTTATCCCTGCCCAGTCCCCATGCTTCTCTGACATATTTCACCTGCTTGAAACTAGCACCCAATGACCTGATGACATGAGGTCCAACGAGTAGCTGCCTGATGGATTTTGGCATTGTCCACCTCTCTTCCTTGAAAAAGAGCAGACAGCACCCATGGAGCCTGTTAGATCACTGGAGAGGAGACAACACTTTCTACTGAGAAAAGCTGAAAAAACATCAAGGATGCTAAACTTCATTTGTTTTTTACCCAACTTTCATCCCCTCCTGCATTCACAACTGTTGAAGCACAGGCAAGCTCTTCCCTGTATCATCTGTGCTTTACCCTGTGTTCTTCAGATAATGAAGACAGCTTTTCCAGTTAGAGATAAGGGACATGGAGGCAAAAGCTCAATGTTGGGCCACAAAGGCAGGACAGAAAGGCCACCCCTTTAGGCCAGGCCTGTGGCAGAGGACTGCTGTAAGGGACCAAGGCACAGGAAGGGCCAGACTGGGATAAACAGCCAGAGGAGGTTGTGTATCATCTCTGACTGTGTGTGATCCTTGGAATAACCGTGAATCCCCACATCAAGTTACCTTGGAGCTGCTTTTCCTCACATCCAAACCTGGGAGTGGGGAAGGGAGGAGCCTCAGTCTCTTACTACGGGATGGTCCTATGCCAAAAGCAGCAAGGAAGAAGTGTCAGCTTCATGGTTTGTGAGACATTTAGCATAACCACAGTACAGAAGAGGTGTGTGAAGACCATTTTTTCAAGCCTATTGGTGCTGGGAGTCAAAGGCAGGACTATCTGTTGGTGGGTAGAGCCATTCCAGCAGCCTTTCACCTGAGGATGCAATAGTGATCAGAACTGGGCTCTCACTGAGCCTTCAGGGCATCACAGAGGAGCAGGTCACCTTCCCAAGTGTGTGTAGGTTAAAGTGACAATAACAAAGTGAAAACCTCACCCTGGCCTTCTTGCTCTTGGGTATAACCCAACAGATTCCACCTGCAACAAACGGTGGCTGGTAGCAATCTTTCTCTTATGTCACCTACACTCCTGAAGAGTGTTCTGTGCTAAAACCTGAAGGTTGCCTTGTACTTAGTACAGTGTTATTAGATGAAGTAAAAATTTTATGGGCCCTTAAATATCATTAGACATCATAGATCTGTACATCACTTTGAGACATCTATTGTCTTAATCAAAAGTGCAACAGTTAAGTTTTAGATCTTGTGCATTCCTGTTCTACATTACTTCAGAACCAGGTAACTATCATAAAAAATTAACAGCAGTGAACTCTCTCATAGGTGCTTTTATTCAGAGGGCTTGGTAAGCGCAGTAATAGATTAAGCATGCACAGCATTGACAGAATGCAGCCTGGAGAACCAAAGCCCTACCTATAGCCAACAAACTTGTAACTGAAGAAACCCTACTCGTTACAAACAGCTTGAATTTTTTAAGTTGATATTGCACCGATCACTCTGTCAAAGTCTAAGCCAAAAGGGATACAATGTACATTAATCAAGTAAAATGTGGAATTTAGACTGTACTAGTTGTTTTAAAGGCACTCAATTAAAAAAAACCCAGAACAAACCCCAAAATAACCACCAAAACTAAGCCCCAGCCAAACAAAACAAGACCAAGATACCAGAATTCCGATCTGCTTCAGCTTTACGACTTGTGGAACATAAAATGCTCCTACTTATAGCACTGGATGTGAGCACAATCTGCTCACGGTATCTGCAGCTGGGATCTGAGGGTACAGGAAAGCTTGGAAATCGAGTAATTATGGGTAAGTATGATAATGTTCTTGCCACAGGGAAGTTACATTTGTGCTCCCGCAACCCTTCCAAGTGAAAACACCTTGCTCTCTGTCCCCACTTGAGAATAAGAGAGGAAATTTATGACTTTGATCTTCAGTTTCTTTTAACCTTAAGCTCGGTTCTTCTATCCATTCCAGTCACATGACACATAAGGTCAAAACACCTATATTGAGGAGCAAGCCCGTTCCAAAGGACTGGAACGTAGTATGCAAATAACCCCAATGTTCTCTTTTATTCTGGTTTGATTTCAGGTACCAGTTGTATTCACGCTTCCATCACTGAAAATGACTTGCGCATTGTAAGTATACTGGAGTATAAAATGAAATCCATAAACACACCCCCAACCTCACAATAAAACAAAGCAACCATAACACTTATTTACTGTGTATGCGTGACTGCTCTGCAATACAAGGGTGTTTTAAGAAAGTATTAGAGATATATTTTGAGAACCTTTTGCCTCTTCCCCCAAAGAGTTCAAACAAGGCATCATTTTTGACTTGTGACTTTTAACTTATTAGTAAAACTAATGAAGTAAATTAAGTTAATCAAAAGCAATAGCAGCCCAGGCCCAGATGGTTCTGCTATCTCCCTAATTTCTGAAAAATACATTAACAGGGAACAACTACATATTTCTGTAAAGACTGAAATTCAAGTGGCATACTGAAGGCAGTACATGAAGGCACCCTTCCTATCATCACGAAAAGGTCCTTGCATGTATGGACTGAATGGTGATTTTTTGGTAAAGCTTTCTCCAACAAGTCCCAGCTTAGAACGAACACACCAATCACACAAATGTATGCACACAGAACAAGGTGAAATGTAGTTGCTCTTCAAACCACTTACAGGACTTCACTTTACAAAAGATAAGCCAGTCTGCTGAAGTTTCCCAAGTGGCTATCACTCTTTTCCAAGGGACACAAAGCAGCGTATGGATTTTTCATATCATAGGTATTGATGAAGCAAGGATGTCTGTTTCTAAGAAATGCCATCAGAGGCCTATACAGAAAGAAAACCCCACATCTTGCAATTAAATATGCCCTTAAAAAAACTTAAAACACAATAATGCAAAGAAACCAATTTTGCTCTGCTGCTTAATTAGGTCTCCTGCCTGTAGCAGGCCATCACATTATGTTGACCTATGCAATACTTTATGGAAGAGTCACCTCCAAAGAGGCTGAAAGCCATTTCCATCAACTGTATCGATGCTGACACTGGAATGATAATATGTCTAACAAGGAGGAGGAAGGGAGATTCTTTTCTTGTGAAGAAGCTTACATTTGTGTTTGACAGAACTTAAATATCTAGTTTCCAAATTACCAAAAAAAAAAAAAAAGAAAAAAAAGTAAAAAGTTTCCCCATTCTTTTTCTCCTAATTCAATATTTGAGGCGACATCAAGGATTACAGTGCTTATAACATGTTTTATTCAATTCACATAGAAAAGCATGCAGTATTAATGTAAAATGGTACAGTATTAATGTAAAATGTTCAGTGCACATTAGGTAAACAAGTCATTAGCATACAAACCCATTTTTATGGTCTATACAGGCATACTGAGCACATTTAGAATAACAATGCTTTTTGGGAACTAAATTAAAAATTGTGCTTAACTTCAAAAGATACAAGCTGTGTTTGCAGTGCTCATGAAGGGATGTTTTTTAACTGAAGTGCTGTAACCCTGAAAAGAAAGAGGCTGCTACCTTACACCCACATAAAACAAAGAGTTTCATTCAGTACAGCACAGTGCTATGAAACAGTCCAAGCAGCAACATTTCATCTGCTAGGCGAGTTTTATGGCAAAAGTGACATTGTTTTATAGCAATTCCATGAATCCATAGGATATATAGCCAGTAGCTGCCTTACACGCACAAGACAATCTTTAGGAATAGGAAACGTAACCTTTAAAATAAATTCTTACAGAAATGATTTGACAAGATCACTTGCAACTGTCCTGCTCAAGGGAACCATTAGCTGTGTCCACAACTGGAAGATTTTATTCACCCCCAAGTGAATAAAATGCCCAGCCAAAGAAAAGAACCTGAACTCGTTCCTGCCTAGGAAAAATCTTGTAACAGGGAAGGGACTGTTCAGATTTCACATAGATTGGATTGCATGGTAGTCATTAAGTTCACCTGTAAATATTAAACATTTGCAGGTTGATGACTTTGCTGGAAACGCCAGTTCGCTTTCCAAGCAGAATCAGTTTTTGGTAGTTTTTGATGGACTAGCACTGGAAAGGCTGCTTTGAATTTTCCTCTTGGTTGACTGACTGGCATTTTTATTTTTCCTTTCAGCTATAAAGGAAGACACCCAAGGAGGATTAAGCTGATTGTGCAGGTCAGATGGCATCTTTAAAAAGCAGGAACCAAACTTTTGTTCCTCAAACAACCTTTGTGAGTTACTGAATAGTGAACTCTGAGAAAAGTCTCTTTGAAATGAACAGTTTGGAGGTTTGATATCACTAGCCACTGTGTTCTGGCCTGTAAACAGTGGAAAGTGGTCATGCATATCCAGCTCAGATGGGGAGAGCATGGAAAACACAGCAGGTTTCCAGCCAGTTCTGTCAGCTGCTGGATCACTTGTCTCTGGACACCTCATACTCTGTTCCTCATTCATCTCTTCCAGTTTCTTTTCGGATCCATTCAGAAGCTTAGAACACTCTGTTGACTTTGAAGAATTATCAAGATCAGAGGACTTGAAATTATAGCAGGGACTCTTGCTGTTGTCTGACTCAGACATCATTGAGTCCAACTCAGAAATTTTATCGAGGTAGGCAGCATCCATAGATGCCTCGCTAGAGGTTCTTGTGCGATTCATTTCAGAAGAGCAGAGGGTATGCAACCTCTTAGGTAAGCAAGAACTTGTTTTATCGCTGGACTTTGCTGATGTCTCATCTGACTGACCAGCTACTGAATTTTGCTCTGATTCATCAAAATCTAAGTTCTCGGCAAAATTTGTGGGGCAGGTCCCCCAAAACCCTGATTTTCCTGTAGTAAAACAGTTTAGCTTCTTTTCATTATTACAGCTGCTTGTGCTGTGTTCAGGGGTATCTTTGCTGCAATCATCTGAAGTATCACAAAACTCTTCAAATTTCAGTTTTCTCAGGAATGCTGATGGTTTCCTTGCATTTTCTTTCCCATCAGGAGTGTTCAACTGAAGGCGACTGAGAGACAGAAAAGGAGTGCACTGTGGTGGAAGACCATAAAGTTCCTCATCCTTATATGGGGTACATTCCTCAATTTTATTCCACTGCTCTTCTAAGCAGGCATCCATATTTGTAGTATTTTCATCCAGGAGAACCCCATGACATCTTGGAAACAGTTCTTTCTTTGAGGCACACTGGGTATCTGAGCCATTTGAACCCTCTTGACTAGAAGAGCTTAAACTAGTTTCACCACTTGTCAGCTGTTCAAGACTGTCAGGACTTTGACTGGTAGTCAAAGCTTTTTTTTCCTCAACTTGGGCTTTCAAACATGTTGCATCTTCACTGCTCTCAGCTCCTTTAGCATCTGTGGAAAGCGCTCTCTCACTAACAGTGCTCACTGTCTGTGTTCCTTTGGCTGCATTTTGCAGCTGTAAAAGCTGACACTCAATTTCTTCTATGTATTTATCACTTCTTTCCAGTGCCTTTTTTAGACGGTTCATTTCACGTTCACTTTGTTCTACTTTGGACTGAAGTGCAGCTACCGTAAACCTACCATACCTGCAAAAAATAAAGAAGAAAGAAAATAGTAAGATAGAAAAGGACATTTGCATGGTGCTTTGTGAGCTCATTTCAAGAAAGAACAAAGCTATTAACCACTGTGCTAATTCAAAAACAAAAGTAAAAACTTTTCTCTGCTAGTTATGAAGAAAAAAATAATAAAATCATCATATATAATGTACAGGTGGAGCTGAATACCCGAAAAGCCAAAATTAAACTATTAGTGGTAGTAAGACAATAACAAGCACATTACCCTTCAAGGGGCTGGTTCTATCAATTCAATTCAAATATGCATGAAGAATTATCCCCTACAACAATGGCAAAGATTTATGATAACATTTGAACAGTGGTCCACATCTTGAAATATTTACATTCAATCATTTTCCTACAGTACAGCCATGTTTTACAATACATTTCTTACACAATGTCACCTTGTCAAATATAAAATGCCAATATGAAATTCAGAAACTGCAACAGTCCTTTGAGGTGGTTTAAATACTTATGTAGACCATTTCAATTATATTCCTGTTAGATATACAGCTTTTCCTCAGCCATCACGTGGATAGTACTTCCACCTGCTCCAGAGCTACTTGGTTTTTGAGCTTTACAACTGCAACAATCTGATTTCTTGACTCCAATACAAAAAAACCCTGCCACTTGTGGTTTGTGAAACTTGCGAGTTTGTGATGCTTCCAGCTTCAGCACATTTTCAACTGCCAAGATACGGACTTGCCTTCCCCCCATCCTCCACCAGCTTTCAAGAGTGACCTTCCCCAGAGGGCAGGTGAAGGTTTCAGCTATATGCCCTGACTAATTCTAACCTGTCACTGACAGGTGGGCACCAGGGAATTTCCTGCTCCATTCGAGGCTTTCAATTTACTGAGAGAAAAAACAATTAAAGTTCTGGTATTATTAGGAAGGAGGGAAGGACCTGCAGCCACCCTACAACTCTGACACATAAAGTTTTATATCACAAAGAAAAGAAGTGACAATTCTTTGTGTGGGCTTACACTAACCTCCACATTACAGCATAAGTTTATATTCACTCTTCCAGCATAAACACTGCCTGGTATTTCCACTCTGTTTCTTTGTCTGTCTGTCTACCCCTCCTTCAGAGTCACAGAGAACTCCCATTCCATTTGCTCCATCCCATTCCCCTCACCTCTTCGCAAAATGCTCTCACTGCAACCCTTAAACTTGTGCTGCAGTGAGGTCTGAAGGTGATGTATCTGTGGCCTATGACTATGCTGACAAAATACCCATGAATCTATGCAGGCATTTCCAGCAAGGAATCAAACTATATTTTGTTTCTGTATTTTGTTTGCTTCTGAGCCCAAAGCAGTAGGAAATTGCTCTATGCTGACAATTACAATACAATTAAGGAGGCAGTCGCGGAAAGGAGTAGAGGGTATCCCAAGCCCCAGACAAACTGGGCACATGTGACATATTTCACCATTCAAATGCTTCTGCATATTGAAAGGACTTGGAGATGCTGGTGTAGATGGTTCAGTGGTGGGTAAGATTCATGCAACAGTCTAAGGTCTTTCACAGCACTGCTATTAGACCACATAAGCTTCACAGAGTTTGGTGTGTGCCACTCACTGCTTTGGAGACATGGAAAATCAAGGTACAAGTTTTTTTATTTAGAAGTGTTCACTTGGTAAGATTCTTTTTCCCCTAAAAGAAACCGTCTGGATTGAACTCTGTCAAGGCAAGGATCCTCCCACCTCTGCACTACCTCCACCCGATTACTTTTGTCTTCATAAGAATGAATACAAACAATTTTTCATTTACTCACTCTATGGGTAAGTTTTCCCCATTGATTATAGCAGTTTCTCCGCTTCTGGTTGCATGCAAGAGGGAAATGGGAGAAAAAAGTGCACAGGATTTCTCCCTCTCCCCCATGAACTTAGACAAAAGCAGAACCACAGAGAGCTTGCAAATGCAATTATATTTTCAGGGGAAGTGAGTTACAATGGAATAAGCATCCTCATATGCAACACATTTTGGCTTATTCCCTCCTTCAGCAAAAGGAACTCAGGTTTTGGTTTGGGCACAAGCAAAACCATTCCTGCTTCCTAGGGTAATCTGTAAGTATTTCTCTAACAGACTTGTTCACACAACCCTACAGGAACAAACCATACAATGCTTAATAAAGAATATAAAGATGATACAAAAATACAATTTAGCTTAATAACATAGTGAGAGATGGGGAAAAACACGTATGTAAAATAAGCAAGATTTTCTGGAGTCTGCTCTAACAGACACTTTGACATAAAAATTAAACATGTTTACATTTATATGCATACCTGGCAATTCCTTTTTAATGGAAGAATGGTGTAATATGTTTATTTAATGCAAATAGCATTAGTGACAGACTGAGATTTGCTTATGAGGAAGCAGCACTGTATTCTCAAGTGCAACTTTTATAACAAGTGTCCTCAGGTTACAAAAATACAGTATGTTGTTCAAAGCCAACTAGCATCACTAATATGTTAATTGTTGCAGAGGGATATGCTTGTGAATTTTGGTTTACAGAAATGGAACATATGACATACTGCCTACAAACAGTAGCCTCTGTCGTTAAGCACCAGAACAGTAGTGACTTCCTGTTTCTGCATTGAGACTTGCATGCATTTATTTCCCAAATTTTCAAGGACATGGATACTTAAGACAGTCATATTACAATGCACATATTTAAACCAGTTATTCCAGACCAGAGGATGACATAGGTGTTTTAGTGACTGATCTGGCAGGTCAGCAGAGATCTTAAGAGACATACATATTTTGGTTAAAGAAGGCAGAATCTTCCCCATCTCCTTAAACCAAACCATTGTTCTAAGAGATTTCCTCTTCTTTTCCCCTCAGGTGTACAGGGAGCTGTGTCATAGCCAAAAAAGTTATGCTCTGATGGCAGTAATAACAGAATGCAGTACAGTTACATGAAAATAAATTAAAGTTTGACCTCACACTCTAGATAAACTATTTTTCCCCAAAGGATATGTACCACTTCACACATGATAACAAATTGATACATTCTTAAGGAGAAGTTAAGATATTCAGTATACAGGTGGTAAAAAGCACTTTTCATATCTTCATGCCTGAATAATGTCTTTTGAGTGTTAGGGGTCTTGTTCTTTAGTTGTATCACTTAAACAATGAGTTTGTATCTCACTGCACTTGTTTTAAGTACATCTTTTCCATAGAAAACTGAAAGCTTTTCCACAGAAAGTAGTGGTCACTCATAAGCTAATAGAAAGACATTTCAAGTGGGATTTGGTCCTTCAACACAAACAGCTAGTGACATTTTAGATAGCCTAAGGACCTTTTACATGACTGCTGGCCTCCAGCTATCACTTTGTAATGGAATTTGGTTTCACTGAAAAAGTGATTCTGGGTGTAGCCTACTACTGCTTTCCATCCTAACTTGGCAGATTAAGTTGCCTGACAGAAGTGTATAATGGCTTCTTCTTGAAGAAAGTAATAGAAACACTTGCTATAGCTATTTTTTTAAGCTTGTAAAAGAACAGATTATTTTCAATATAGAATCATAGAATGGTTAGGGTTGGAAAGGACCTAAGATCATCAAGTTCCAACCCCCCTGCCATGGGCAGGGACACCTCGCTCTAAACCATATCACTCAAGGCCTCGTCCAACCTGGCCTTGAACACTGCCAGGGATGAAGCATTCACAACCTCCCTGGACAACTTATTCCAGTGCCTCACCACCGTCACAGGAAAGAATTTCCTCCTTATATCCAATCTAAACTTCCCCTGTTTATGTTTTAACCCATTACCCGTTGTCCTACCACTACAGTCCCTAATGAAGTGTCCATCCCCAGCATCCCTATATGCCCCCTTCAGATACTGGAAGGCTGCTATGAGGTAAGCAAATGCTGGCCAGTAAATCCCTTTTATCACACAGTTCACAGAGTACAAACTAATCTGAAGATGCATGGCCTTCAGAGAAATCCACCTCCTTCAAATCACACGAGTAAGACTAAGTTTTACTGTTTGTTGGATAACTGCAGAGCACCAGGATTTGAACAGAATAGCCAAGTCAGGTACATTCTTTGTACAAGCATTTCCTTTCACTTAGAGAATTGGGTGAATTCAGACAAATATGCGAACCTTCTCAAAGCTTTTTAATATCTTTCAGTGAAGCTGCGCTGGTCTTCCACATAAGAAAGCCAGATTATATATATACAAGATTGGTGAATAATATAGCACAGAAAGGATTACTTCAGAATTACTAAGAAAAAAACCCATCAAAACAAATCAAACCACCAGAAAACCCACAAAACCAAGGAGTGTGACCTGAATGTTCTTACCCAGCCACCTCAGACTTAGCTCTTTTTGTCTCGAATGGGTGCTTCCTCAGGATTTAATGTTATGACTCAAGAACCTAAAGCTGTCTTGAAGGCTACTATACAGCATTTTCTACTATTCACTTTTAAGGCCACACTGCAGCTGGTCTTTGAAAATGGTCAGTCCTCTGGGACAGCAAGCTTGTGAGGAGGAGAGAAAGTAGCCCAGGTTTCTACCAAGGAAGGCAGCAGCATTCTTATCCCCTGCACCCAAGACAGTGGTTACCAGAAGTCTATTTTCAGACTCACTGAAATGCAGATTGAATCAAACAGTCTGGCATGAGTGGAAATATTCTAGTTAGATAAATTGAATATTGTACAGAATGACCTGAAATGTCAGCAGCCTTAGATTTCAGTGTGCAGGCACCTGAAGTCACAAAGATAAACGGTAAATCTGAAGAAGGGGGGAAAAAAACCCCACCCCCCCCAAACAACAACAACAAAACCACTCATAAAACCAGAGAAAAGAGGTAACACAACTATTTTCTGCATGTTACAGATAGCTTTTCATACTGGGATTTTAACTGGCAGAAGAAATTAAATATTTAGGGAAATGACTCCTAGGAAGCCTAGAAGTCTGGTTCAAGCTAATTTGAATCTAACCATTCATAAAATACACTATACCCTGGAGTAGATGGTCGTGCTAGTTATTTTCCTTCAGGTAAAAAGCAAACATCCCTTTGCCAAAAATGCTTTTAGATCCATGCTTTTAGATCCATTGTGCCTTGCCAATAGACCTAAGAGTTTTCTATTTTAAGTAGAGCTGGAAGTAACAGGGCTATATTATCCTCTAAAACTTAAGTTTTAGAAGTTTTCCTGTTCAGCATCAGGAAAACGGAAGTCACTAAAAATTTCTCAGGAGAAAAGGCAAGCAAAGAACAACAAATAACCTCCAAACAATCAGTCTATTTTCTGGAGAAATGGGAGACTAATGCAGGTCATTGGTAAGAATCAGAGCAAGAAACTTACCCCTATTTGCTTTTCAGACCTATGTCCCAACTATACAATGGTATGGTATTCTGGTGAAGGTCTACTCTTGAAAATGTTTCAGAAAGAAGAGAAAAAAATAAATCTAATCAATCAACATCATCAATTAAAAAATTGTGTAAAAATCCCCGACATGGCTGCAATGTCAATTTTATTGACATACATGACATTTTTCAGCAGGTTTTAATGGATATGAACAAAGAAAAATAACTCAAGACTATGATAAAAGGAATATTTTTTATTGACCACTGAAGAAGGGCAATTAATTTTTTTCCTATGAGGTCAGAAGTAGAGTCTGTGTTACAAAGGGATCATTCACCTACCATCAGCATTTCCTTTGCTGTAAAGCAAAGCCTACTAAAATAATTTAGGTTGTGATACTTAGCTTCAGTGTCATTATGCATAAAATGAACTATATTTGGGGTAAGAGAATTGAATACTGATAAAAACTCTCTAAAATAATCTGATACAAGTTTTAGTTACCCAACCAATTAAGCATGAATCTATACCTGAAAATCTGAAGCTGAGAAACATATGACAAATGAAACAGTGGTAGTGATACTAAATTACAAAGATCCAATTCAATAACTATTTAAAACTGCACTGGAAAGCAATTCAGAAACTCTTCCCCAAAATTACCTTCTGAGCAATTCTGAGTAAAGTACACTGAAACAACTGTATTGGCAAATCAGTGTACCTGCACAGAAAAGCTCAATTATAGTGACACTGTCACATTCTGGTGTTTATGCCTTCAATTTTGGTTTCATAAGCAAGGTAAGAAAATACTTACTGCAATCCCTGTTCAGCATATGAAGCCTAGTTGAAAGACCTTTTAGGTATTATCAAAAGTTTGCCATCAGAACTGGAACAACATTTAAAAAATGTCTCAATATTATGTCTGGTCTAGACACTGGCCGGACTAATGACTACAAGGATGAAAGCTAATTTATAAAATCTGCTAATAACACTAAGATGTCAGAGACTTCCTACCACCTGATGGACGTGACTGGAATTCAGAACTGTTTTAAGTTTGACTTCTGCATGAAAACTGTCCAATTTCTAACATTTCCTATATCTGTGCTTCTGAAGAATGAAGTGGCTTGCTAGTGTTTTAGGCCACACAGACAAAAGATGGCAAAATAACCAGCTTGCAACAAAGACTAGTTCTTCACATCCCCTCCCCTCTGATATCTAATTTTTCTGACAACAGGATAGTAAATCTAGAAGAAACAAAATTCCCTCCACCGGGGAGTTTACCCGACATCAGTAAAGTAAAAATCAAGTTAGATTACCTGGTCTCTTCTTCTTTTCTAGGATGTATTTAGTTACATCTATTTACTTTTCAAGTCTGCCATCGTTGCCAACTCACTCTTGAATCTTATGGAAAAAGACATTCCATGCCATTAACGCTCTCTCCATTGCCAAGACCTTAAACAGGGCTTTACCTCCCTTATTAGTGTACTTTAGGGCAGAATGTACTTTTATGCCTTCAACAGCACAGCACAAGGATCATGCATCTTCTTCCCTGTGGTCTCAAATGACAAGCAGTATGGCAAGCAAGCTGTCTTGTCTGAATTTCATCTTCCAGCAAGTCAGTTGTGAACTAGAACAAAATCCAGAGACCTCTCTTCTGACATTACACAGGTGCTCCCAACCGTCTTCCTCAAAAGCACCATATAAACCTTTGGCCAATGCTGCTCTTAGCTTTCTAAGTTCTAAACCAATGAGACAAAAAAAGGTAGAAAACCAAAGAAAGAAAGAAACACAACTTAAAAACATGAACATGTTGCTTCACTTCCAAAGCACAGCAAAGTGTTTGCTTTTTGAGGCTGTTGTCACGGATGTTTTAACTGTTTAAGAGTATTAAACACAGGTGTCCATTCTGAGAATGATTGTCTCATGCTGCAGAAGCTTGGTTCTACATATCCTGCCCAGACACAAAGCTACCAGGGAATTTAACTGAACAGGGACCTTAAGTCCACATAACAAACCCTGAAGGCAGCAAAAGGAAGAACAAACCAAAACCAAATACAAACAACTAGAACATCTGCAGCTAGTAACAGACCTACTTTGACCTTATACTACACTTAGAAATAACCCAAAACCAAAAATAAGTTAACTACAGAATTCAACTAATGAATCTAGTCCTTCAATATTGGCCAGATAATGCAAGGAATAACATGTCATACTCCTTCACTGTAGACTTGATGCTACTCTGTAAGTTGCATTTGTTACTCACTTGGTGCTATTCTGCAAGTTACATTTGTCACCCAAGTCTATGAGGGTAAAAATTCCAAAATCCACATATGTGACACCATGTACACCACCACAGATTTAGGTTAAAGCTCTACAAGAGTTAAACAGTCTATAAATAAAATACGGTAGCTTTTAAAATATTCACATACTTTTGGGGTGATCTATTATCAACTTCAGCTTTCAGTCTCAAATTCTCTCTTAAAAGGCTACTGTTTTCCATGCTCAGTTTCTTATTTGCCTAAGGAAAAGAAAAGGAAAGTAAGTATAGAGTAAACCAGAAATTACTTCTAATATTTATAGGACAAGCTGTTTCTCCTTTTTAAAGAGACACAACTAGAAATGTGAAGGCAGGAAACAGCCTTCAGACAGGGACACCATTTAAAAACCATCATGGGAAATGGTTTGCAAAACTGAATAGTGAACAGGCATTTTTTATTTATATTCCAAAAATACATCACAAGTGTCCTATCTAGGGAAATAAACACAGCTATGTTAGTTAGCACAGAAAGTCATTAAGGAGATGTACTAATGGCAATTCCATGTTGTTTCTTCCATGTGACTAAATATGTTAAGTACATTAACATTACAATGTGCAGGTATCAGCAAAACTAATGTTGAACAGCTTCCCCCACTCCAAATTAGATTAAGATTACTTTGTGTTTTTTTACTTGTTTTTAAAGCATAATTATCCTGTGGATGTAAATCCATTATGACAAGCTATTTGCAGTCCTTCTTCACTTTCTTCCAGGATGTTGTGATTAAGACTCCTGATACACAACCCTTCTTACTCCTTGAATTGAGGTCAATTCTTCTCAGTTCAGCAGACACCCTTAACAAGACACTTCATATAAAAACAAGTTTTCTTGCCTCTGTGCTTCAGAACAATCAATGTCACTACCCTAACAAGTAGAAAATACTCTGCAATTCATAGTTGGCTCAATCTCTATATGCTGAAAACAGAATCAACAGTCCAGGACTTGTAATCGCAGCCTCAGTTAGATGCCGCTTCCATTGTATAATGAAAGTATGATCTACAATTAGCTACAAAGAAGGAACCATGCAACTGGGCTCAGGAGTGAAATGTACTTTTTCAGAGGGATCAAACAGTGCAAGAAGAGAGGCAGAAAACCTCAAATGCTTATACAGACAACCCCATCAACCTGTCCAGGTGAGGCGAAGAGAGTAGGGAGGGTAAAGAGAAAGGAGCAGTAAAACCAAACCAAAACCAAAACACCACCACCCTCAAAACCACAATATTCCTAGGGGCAGAAAGAGGAAATAGAGAGTTCTGATAAAGAAGGAATGGGAAGGGTGAGCCCAGGACTTGGGTGCCTGGGTGACATGTCAACCATTTGGTATTTAAAAAATAAAGCACAAAAAAACTGCTGTGTAAGCAATGACTAAGAATCCAAGATACCTCAGTACCAAAGGAGCATGGAAACCATTTGAGAGCACGGACAAGACCTTCCTCTCTTTCCAGAGACACAGTTTCTCCAGCTTCACCATCTAATAAAAAATTGCACAACTTGAATAGAGTTGGTGGGTAGGGCATCCTCCACCTGGCACACGGCAAGGCAGGACTGAACCTCTTTGGTGTCCTTCTTTCTGAGGGTGCTCTACCCTCCAAACTTGTAACATGCAAGGGATCCCCCCTTGCAGCACAACATCTAGATCAACGAGTTCACGTTAACTGCATTATTTATGAGTGTACTTTGTCTAGTATTTCTTCTACTGGGCTCCTATCACCGATTCCATACTTATTACAGCTCCACTCAGTAATAAGGCCTACTTTGGGAGTCTCTGCTCTGGGACATTAAATGATAAAGGTGACTGCTACTTCTTGACTCAGTCTGGTTTTAGACCCTGTTTCACTGGGAAGATATGGGTGGTTGAAGCTCCTGGGTCAGGTACTTTAGGGGATAAGGTTTCTGGTTCCAGGTTGAGTGTACAGGGGAAGGAGGTCTTGCTGTTGTGACTGAACAGCTCTTGCTTTTCAAACAGAGTCCTCCAACACATAATGCTTCGGTTTTGCAGGAGGCAACTCAGTATTGTTAATAGAAGAAATAAAGGCAGCATTCTGAATAAATGCAAGTCCAGTTCTTTCCACCTTGCTTTTAAAATTAGTCTTGAAATGTCACTCTTCTTCAATGTTTGAGGTGATCCTTCTTGTGACCGCAGGTAGATTTAGCAAGATATTTTTGTTTAGACATATTTTTACATGACTATCTCCTCCATCAATCCTTCTGCAGTATCAGGTTTTCTCCTGTATTAAATCCAAGATGTATAAAAAAGCCGCAGGTTTCCAGTAAAGGATCTTCTGGTCATAAAATGCTGAAGCTTGTCTATTTTCGGTCAAAGGGTCAAGTTACTCTGTCTCAGCAAATTGCACCAAAAATATTGGCTAGCAGGGAGGGCAATAGTGCAAAATCTACCTCAGTCAACTGTACTGTGTTTGGCCACTGAAAGTGGTAAAATAGATATATTATATAGATTATTGAAAACCTGAAAAATCTGGTCATCAATACTGGTGACAAGGGCTACTATAATCCAATTACCCAGCCACAGAGTGACAGAGGAGTTGAAGAAGAGTCACATACAAGACTCACTAGAACAAGCAATAACATCTGACACTTGTGAAGTCTTTATGGAAATACTATGATACACCAACAGTCACTGGAATTCAATTTTTAACTCTTTCTTCTGGGTCTATGAAGTACCCAAAGATCATGCTAGTTCCCACTCCCATTTAACTAACATAAAACAGCTATACTACAAGGCAGCTGAAGAAATGTATTTATCACCTCCTTTAGCTTTTCCATGTTATCCATCACTTTTTCATACATATCATTGGCAGCTTTCAGCTTTTTGCTCCATTCCTCTGGGGTTTCTGGGCCACTGGTCCTTGCTTCATTTGCTGACTGGCTAGTTTCCTCATTTTGGCAAGACAAAGCTGATGCAATAGGATCCAGAAAAGACTTCAGCTGTGTCTGTAAACTGAGATTTTTACCTCTCAGATCTTCCACTTCTTTTTGCAGGGATTCTATTTCATCCTAAAGGTGTCAGAAATTCAGAGGAATTAAAATAATGTGAGAGATTAATTAAATAATACTGGCAAGTTCCCACAGCACTTCAGAAACATGGGTTCTGGCAAGCCCAGATGTATGCCTTCACTTACACATATATCTGTTTATGTATTGTGCTCTAGGCAGGATTTTAATCAACCTGCACACTCAAGCATAGTGAAGGTTTTAGTGAAGGGAATCCCTTGACTACACAAAGGACTCCGAACAAACCAGCAGGCAGACCAAAAGCTTCAAAGCATTCAGCAACATGAATCTATTATTAGGGCACTCTGTGGGAGGATTTCCTGTATTAAGAATGTTCTTAAGGTCGTCTTCTGCTGACTCATTTGCTGTTATTTGAGAATGTTTCTCATATAATTCTGAAATGTCACATGTCTGGATGCTGAAAGCCTCAAAATTCAAAATGGACAGAACACTGCCTGGAAGAGGCTCCTCCAGCTATGCTAAAGTAGTAGCATCTTAGGAAAGACTCTCAAAATGCAAAGAACAAAGCTCTTAGCCATATCATTCTGAAGCCACAGAGAAACACAAACCTTCAAAAGCCTCTTGTTAAAGGGATAAAAGAAAGAATTTATCGTGAAAACATGTCTTCTGCACTGTTCACCAACTTAAATATGTGAGTTGTGCATGGTCAGATTACTAAAGGAGGCCATATACAGCATCTACTTAAATCCCAGGCATATTTGCATGAATAACCAGGCTTCCCACCACCATTACCACCATTAGGAGAACAGTAATTTTAAATTTAGGGTTTTTGGAGAGATTTACGTTATCCTATGCCTATCTGAGTTGATTCAACAGAAAGGCAGGAAAACTTTTCCTGACTCCTCCTTTCACAGAGGATGAAAGAAGTTGAGCTATAGGCCATCTCATCATAAAAGACAGCCCTTACTTCCCCAGTGTTAAGGATATATACAGTGTTTGTTTCCTTTCTCCCATTCTCCTCCCTGAGACAAATTACAAATATTACAAAATATGGGATGTCTTCACATTGCTGCTACTAAGGAAACAACAGATGAGAAAACAAACTAAACATATTCCTTATTAACACCTTTTCACCTTGTTCTTAAGAGAGTATTTTTTTCCAGCAGGAAAGTTGAGATAAACTTCCAAGCACTTACTTTCAGGAAACAAAAAAAGCAACAATGATAAAAAATAACCTATGCCAGAAGGTTACAGTAGGTAATATTCTTTAAGAAGGAATTTAGTACCCCTGAGCAACATGGAATTACTTCAGGAAGTGTTTGCATTCGTATCGAAGACAAAACAAAAAGGCCCCAGTGCCCAATCTGCATAAAGAAAACCATCCCATACCACCTGGGGGTGGAATTCCCACAAAACTATATCATTGTCTGTGCCTGGCTACTTACAGCATATTAAGAATAACACCTTGTCTTTAGCAAGACCACTTCAGATGCCAGCAAATGCTCCCTTCATAACCTTAGCCAGAAACCAGGATTTTAATGCAGCCGAGTTTCATGTAATTCCAGTATAAACTTACTTAAAAGCAACAGGACTCAATGCAAAAGGACCAGTTGTATGCAGTAATTTAACAGCTGCAGTTCATCTGGAAAGTCACAACACTCCCCATGTCCTTACCTCATATTCTTTGTGGAGCAATTCAAGCCTTGTTTTACGTAGGTGTTTTCTGACTGTCGGGCTAAAGATAGGATCACTTTCACTTGTTCCTCCTAAAGCAGCACAGGATGAAAGAAACGTTAGTACTGTTTATTCTTCAGTCAATTCAATACTAGGCATTCACTTTATAGCGCTTTTTGCATTATCAACTACAAATACAGGTAATATTGGACCAATCATTGTGGTCAATGGCTCAATGTCCAGTTAGAGATCAGTAACAAATGGTGTCCCTCAGGGATCGGTGTTGGGACCAGTCTTGTTCAACATCTTTGTCAGTGATATGGACAGCGGGATTGAGTGCGCCCTCAGCAAGTTTGCTGATGACACCAAGCTGTGTGGTTCGGTTGATACCCTTAAGGGAAGGAATGCCATCCAGAGGGACCTTGACACCCTTGTGAGGTGGGCTGATGCCAACCTCATGAAGTTTAACCATGACAAGCGCAAGGTCCTACACCTGGGTCGGGGCAATCCCAGGCACAGCTACAGGTTGGGCAGAGAAGAGATTCAGAGCAGCCCTGTGGAGAAGGACTTGGGGGTGCTGGCTGATGAGAAACTGAATATGAGCTGGCAGTGTGCGCTTGCAGCCCAGAAAGCCAACTGTATCCTGGCCTGCACCAAAAGGAGTGTGACCAGCAGGTTGAAGGAGGTGATCCTGCCCCTCTACTCTGCTCTTGTGAGACCTCACCTGGAGTACTCTGTGCAGTTCTGGTGTCCTCAACATAAAAAGGACATGGAACTGTTGGAACAAGTCCAGAGGAGGGCCACGAGGATGATCAGGGGACTGGAGCACCTCCCGTATGAAGATCGGCTGAGAAAGTTGGGGCTGTTCAGCCTGGAGAAGAGAAGGCTGTGTCAAGTCCTCATAGCAGCCTTCCAGTATCTGAAGGGGGCCTATAACGATGCTGGGGAAGCACTCTTCATTAGGGACTGTAGTAATAGGACAAGGGGCAATGGGTTCAAACTTAAACAAGGGAAGTTTAGATTGTATATAAGGAAGAAGTTCTTTACTGTAAGGGTGATGAGGCACTGGAATGGGTAGCCGAAGGAAGTTGTGCATGCTCCATCCCTGGCAGTGTTCAAGGCCAGGTTGGACAGAGCCTTGGGTGACACGGTTTAGTGTGAGGTGTCCCTGCACATGGTAGGGGGGTTGGAACTTGATGATCTTAAGGTCCCTTCCAACCCTAACTATTCTATGATTCTATAATCTATGACCACAGAAGATTTAAACTAATTTCATTTTCAGAACAGGTTAAACGGGAGTATCTACTAGTAATGTTTGGAAGTCAAAATCCTGCCTCGCAGCAGACAACTTTTGAAATTTTTAACTTTGTATTTTCCTTGAATCCTGTCTTATTAAAGACCATCTATTAAAACAGAGCTAAGAGGGAGGAGTGGGTTGGGGAAATCAAGCATATATTTAATTAGTACAAGGCAGGGTGAGCTTCTAAAGTGAGGCTGTTCGTATATATTTTTTCTCTCAGAACCAAATAAAAGAGCTGACTTTTTATGCCAAATAAAGATCACAAGGTTTCCTAGCTCTGGGAGAGTTGGGGTCCTCACTCAGGTGTTTCAGCTTTGTCTTATTTCTGTGCTACAAGACATCTTTCTAAAAATAAACCACAAGGAAAGAAATGCTGAGCAAAACAAAACAAAAAAAAACAAACAAATGGGGGGGGGGAAGACCATATACTCAAGATTCTGGATTTAAATATGCTATTTCTCAGCTGAACACTACCCTCTTAGGTAGACAGGCTGCAAAGCATATGTAGAGTACTTCAAGCATGAGGCATGACTTTTTTACTGTTCAACCAAGATTTAAAAAGCTGTCATCAAAGCCATGGGGCACTTGCTGCCCTTGAATAATCTAGCTGTTAATATACACGTCATCTTTGGAATTTTTACCTTGTAGCTATTATGTATGCTTCTGGAAAGATTTAAAGTCAGTAGATGCTGCTAAAAAACACACAGAGGAAAAAAATACCCAGATATCTTCGGACTCAAAATAATTTCCTCCAGCAGTAAATACCAGAAAGTTTTATTTCAAAGCCTAGAGTCATCCTTACCTATAATTTCCTTGCAAGGATTTTCAGGCGTGATGGGAATCCTGCAAGCTGGGCACTGATTATTGTTCTTCAGCCACACTTCAATACAAATAGAACAGAATACATGGCTGTTGACACAGATGACCGGGTGACGTACCTTTTAGTATTAAGAGGGAAAAAATGAAAACAAACAGAAAGATGCTATGAATACTTTAAAACTCTTTCAGGTAACAGAATATGAAAATATACTACTCCATCATTCAGTGAAAGTCCGGTCCTGTAGGAAAAAGACAGTTGTTTCACAGGGCTAGCTAGTTGTGACCTCCTGACTCACAACACCAAACCTCCCTAATGTTGAAGGCACCAAAGGTATAACAGTTTTTGCAAAACTAAGGTCTTGATTCCAAGAGCTCATTAATACACAGTATGGCAGGCACACTCCCTTCCCTCCACAACCTCCAGGAAACGCAGCCAATCACTCTAGTGAAATGCATTTGCCTCACAGGTTGAAGGAGACCAAAAGACATCCATTAACCAATTTCCAAAAGTGAGGCAAAGAGGGATTGCCCCTGGCAACAATCAGCTCTTTGCCTTGGAAGAGGTGTCACTGAAACAGATAGTGTTACAGATTAGCCTGCACATAATCAGCTTCATGGAAATCAGCTTTAAAGAGGGTAAGGGCCAAAACCACAGAGCAGAAACATGAACCAGCAATCACTAATTCAAGCCTCCTGCTAGATATGCATTGCTACTAAATAAGTCATTACCTGAGAACAGGGCAGCTAACTGAAGGATTAAATATTCCAATCAGACACAGATCCTTTCAAGAAGCTTTCCCTTCCCTTCCAAAACAGAAGGGTAAACAAACTTTTAGAAAATATTAATGACAATGCATTATTCTCTCTTGTCATTTAACTATAAGCCGTGTTTGAAAGTAAGTATGCATACAGGGACTAAATATGATACAGAGATAAAACAACTTTCCTCTCTATCTATGCTTTGCTGCCGCTTCTGTTACAGCTTACTGTAATACGCATTCTCAAATCTCTTACGACTTAACATTAGTATCTATGTTCAGGGTCTTAGAAATAATTATTTGTTTTTTCTCCACCCCTAAGAAACATGTCTAAGAAATGTGTTTTTGAGACACAGAAGTTATCAGTATTTAGTACTTTAGATTCTACTGTGTTGCACTTAAAGCTCAAGTTGAAGAGAATCCTTTCAACTTTAAAAGAAGTTCTCATCATATCCAAGATCTTCCTTTTTCGTTCTATTAGTAATGCATTAAAACTAAAAAGGAAAAATAAAATATTGGCATGAAGTAGCAAGCAACTGGAAAGGACAGCCAATAACCACTTGGGAAAACAGATTAGATGCGCCCTGTAGTAATCATACCCATATCATCAGGGTTGCACAAGTTAAAAACCAACCATTTTACCACTGAAATACACATGTATCTGAATCAAGGCCCAGATCTACCAGCCTCTTCTCCAATTTACTATTTATGCCTCTGTCTCATAACACAATTGACAGTGTTTTTAAAACCTCCCATACAACAGTCCTGGGAGCCAAAGGATTTATCTATACACAAACAGAAATCAAGTTACTGAAGGTGTGAATAGAGAGAGACTACGCAATTTCTCCAAGTGCCTGCACAATTTCACCTCTAATTAAGGAGGCCTTTTTTTTTTTTTTTTTTTTTTTTTGTGATTAATGCAAGCATTAGCACACCAGTGCTTTGGGAAAGTTTAAGTATTACAATTTCAATTACGTATAAAAAAATCTTGCTATTTACTGCTTTCCTTTGCCAGAAAAGAGCATTCTCTAACTTTCCCACCTGCAGCTAGAGGAAAAAAAAGCCCCAACTTTTTCTCTAGCTAAACTTCTAACTCAGAGGCAGCCCCAGACTAGTTATATGGATGGCGATGACAAGACACAGAGCAGAATAATGTAAAATAATCCAAACAAGAAAAGACATTTCAGGAGCTCAGGTCTCCCCCCTGGGGAGCAAGAGACCCTCAGCTACCCCAAAACTGACACGGAAGCATACTTCTTGCAAAACAGTAAGTCACATTTATTACTCTCCAGGGTATAGTGCTTCTGATTTACACACCTTTACAAGTTTCATTTCAGGGCTGAGGTTTATACTTTTGTTGTCTCAGGACCCACATAAAGCAAATCGCACAACAGCAGAAGCTGCCATTGAAAGGTCACACAATGGCTGAGGGTACTGCTGCCCTTCACTCAGTCCCTGAGTCACCGACTGTGACAAGCCCTGGGGGTGGAGGATCGGGACATACTCATTACTAAAAAAGCATTTCACTTGAATTACAGCACAGTTTGAGTTCCTTTATCAACCACAATGCCTAGAAAGACTACACCTTACTTGAGAAGGCTTGATCAGCTAGCTGGTTCTGAGCTATTTCCTAATTCCCCCCCCCCCCCCCCTCCACCAGTCAATTCCTTCGCAGATCAAAATCAAATCCTATACACATCTATGCTGCTTTGAAGGCACTTCTGGACCTTCAAGCAGCATTAATGGAGGAACAGATGCATGCTCAGGCTGGCACACTAGTATCAGTGAATGCATCCGCAGACATTCTAAGGGGTTTCAACACACGCAAAATTGTGTGCTGAAGCCCAAGCAAACTGTCAACATCAAAACCTACAGCAGAGACCTTCAGTCATCCTAGGATGAGTGAACCTAACAAGCCTGATGCAGGTGGCTTCTGATCTGATTGCTAATTACGAATACAGATACTATAAACACAGACTGTGTTAAAAGAATATTCAGGTAAGAAACATGAAATTTATCCAGGCAATTAACTCTGATTATAAATGGTTATTTGCACATCTTGGCAACATACTTCACAACACTGATCACACTAACAAAATGGGCTAATACTCCTCCTCTTCCCCCCCCTCCCCCGACTTCTGCTTCATTAAAAACAGTGAGTGGCTGGCATTACTGAATCAGTTTCTCCTCAATCTCTCTTTTTATTCCCTTACCACTAAGAACAGTGAATAGTTCCTATTTTGCAGTCAGCTCTTTGCAAATGTTGCAAAGATAGCAATAAGTACATTTTGACTCTTCATCAGGGACTGTAGCAATAGGACAAGGGACTGTAGCAATAGGACAAGGTTTTAAACTTAAACAGGGAAAGTTCAGGTTAGATATAAGGAAGAAGTGCTTTACTGTGAGGGTGGTGAGGCACTGGAACAGGCTGCCCAAAGAAGTGGTAAATGCTCCAGCCCTGGCAGTGTTCAAGGCCAGGCTGGCTGGAGTCTTGGGCAACACAGTCTAGTGTGAGGTGTGCCTGCCCAACCTTTCCAACCCTAAATATTCTATGATTCTATGACTCTAGGGTGGGCCTCCTACTCAATTTGAAGCCTCTGCTACAAACCACACAACTATTAGAACCTGTCAACCCTTCACAACACTTTCTGCTGCCCCCTACAAGACAGGGCAAAACCAGCAAGATTTTTCCCTTACCTTTTTAAATAAAAAATAATATTTTTCCTCTAACCTTACTCTTGAGAAGAGCTTTCTCTGATAAAGTTTTTCAGTGAAGTTCCAAAGTAGAGACAAAGACACATATTAAAAAAATCCCAACAGCCAGAGCTGTCAAATTTGGCGAAATTTAAACAAATTAATCCATCTAAAAAAGAAAGTATTGAAATACTTTATCACCGATATCACCAGCAGATTCACTTACATAATGTTAATATATTACCTTAGTACAAGATGCCAAGTGAACAGAGCATGGAAATCTCTTCCAGTACAAAGTCAGGAACATCTATTCCTGGCCAGCTCCAGAAGATTAAGTGGAAGTGTGAAACAGTGGCTTGAAATAACCCAGTGGCTTTATAGCCAAATATGAGTGAATACCTAATGAATCTACCAAGTGTTTAGATTAGAAAGTTACTAGGATCAGATTCAAATAGCAAATACGTTGTCAGTATGATTTTGCTCTCCTCTTTTTCAAGAGTATCCACTCTTGATACAGTAAATTTGTGTTCTCCTCCCTTTTTCATTAAACAGATAAATAGGAGAGATAACAGGACCACCGCCAGGAAGTCTTTCTCGGCTTCCACAGAAAAGCCACAAAATGACTAAATATGGTAACTCTTTCTCAGAGTTAAGATAGTTGTGAAAAAGAAGATGTCCAACGACTTTCACTACCAGCACTACACATACTTTCTACAGCAACTGTGTCCATTCTTTTGTTATCTAAAGCAGAAAAGGTGCGGAGGTGAGGTAGAAACTAACTGGACAGTAAAAGCCAGAGTATAAACTTAAAAGGCTCTTGTAATCGTTGTGGTTTAAGAGGTTTATTTTGCTCTGGAGAGCAAGGAAAAAGAAAAAAAAAAGAAAAGAACAAAAACCCCAAGTACTGGGGAATGAGCAAAGAATTTGAGAAGCAATTAGTGACAGCTATGAAATTAGCTCTGGGGCTTTTAGAGACTAACAGACTAATACGAGCACTCCACTTCCCAAGGGAGAAGAGAAAGGGGCCGAGAAAGGGTCAGAAAGAGGAAACGGAAACTTTTTTCTCCAGATTCTTGCAGTTCTGTTCAGTAGTTTTTAAATCCCCTTGGTCACACATCTCTTTGTTCCACTTGTCCTCTACCACACGGCCCGACGCTTAAATACAAACCCACCTAGCATTTTAACAGATTATCCTGATGATACCGGAACCGAAATAAACAAGCCCGAAACCTCCACCCTGGAGCCACGCACCCACATTTCAGCGCAGACAGGACTTCGGGGCCCCCAGCCCCTTCTAACAGCCGCTAGGAGAGGGGGAACGCGCTTCCAACTATCCTAGCGCTGGTTATAAACCTCGCCGCAGCCAGGAACGGCCCCCCCCGGGAGGCGGGATTCCCTCCTTCCCGAGGCTGGGACCCTCACTACCCGAGGAGACTCCTCCTTGGAGAAGGGACTCCACATCCCAACTCTTCCCAACACGGAGCCGAAGGGGGGGGTCACGGAGTGACTCCCCGAGCAGCCGCCGACCGTACGCCCCCCCCCCCCCCTCCTCCCCTACCCACCACCGGGCCGCCCGGAGGCGGGAGCTGAGGGGGAAGGGCAGCGGCGCCGCCGTTACCTTCCCCAGGCAGATGTGGCAGGTGATGGGCAGCGTGAGGGACAGCGTGACATTCGGCCCGTGCTGTGCCATCACAGCGGGCCGTCCCTGCCAGCACGGAAGTACCGCAGGCAGCAGCGGCGGCAGCAGCAGCAGCGGCCCCCCGCCAGCTCCGCTACGGCAAGCCGGCGAGGCCAAGCCGCCGCCCGGGAGAGGGGAGGCGGTGCGCGCTTTTGCAGCGCTCCCCTGGAGGGCGGGCGGGAGCCGCGGCCCCTACACGTCTCTGCCGGCGGCCGCTGCCAAGGGCCTGGCCATGAGTAAGGCCGGGTGGCCTGGGGGTCCCGAGGAAGTTTTGGCTTCCGCACGGCCTTGCTGAGGGGAAGCATGATGCCCTTGCAGGAGGGGCTGACGCGAGTTCAGGGGCTCTCGTTTCCTCTTATAAACCTATCCCTTGTTCAGGTTTCGCTGCGCTGAATTAAATAAAGCAGCTGGTTTAGTCCTGTTAATTCTTCTGAGACTTCATCTGTGCTGTTCCCTATGTCCCTTTTTGTGTTGCACTCCAGAATATGATACAACAAATGGGAACGTGTTCCAGAGAAAACTCCTGCCCTGCTTGCCCACTGCTTCGAGTCCATCAGGCTGCAACAGCAGGTACCCAGTAGTGGTCTGGTGCCTGGCATTGCCCCTTCGCTCCCATGCTGTCCTCCTGCTGTGCAGGCACCTCACTTCTGGCCCAAAGTATTGCCTATTGGATCAGGTGGGATGTTCACAGCCCATGTGGCTGTAGCTTTGAGGGTGACAAGGAAAAGAGGACTGTGATAAGCCCCCAAGCCCTTTGAGTGCCACGTGTGGGGGCACTTGCCTAATGATGCCTGATGGGAGATCTTGTCCTGATGCATGGAAACCGAGGGGTCAAATCCACAGATGAAAGTGTGTGCCTGGTGCCCAGCTTGCACCAGCAACTCTCCAAATCATGGGCCCTTGATGCTGCGCTTTACAGGGCTGCCATAGAGCAGCTGGGAAGCAGTGCTGGTGGGACAGGAGGTTCCCAGGAAACTGCTCACTTGACCTCAGTCCCAGGATTCCTGTAGTTTCTTGTAAATGTGCCACAGCATGCTGAAAATTACAGACCTGAGTGATTTAACATTGTGCTGCATGATAAATGTTCAGAATGCTGAGCAGCTAATTCAAACAAGCGTAAAGTTGTGGATGCAATGATTAACAAGGAAAGTGTCTTAGGCCAACACAGCAGAGTTGCACGGGTGCATTTAAATTTGATATAGGTAAGTCTCCGCAAATAAAGCGAGCAAACTAATCCATGATGACATTCCAGCGTAGACAAGGCCTGGTGGCTTAAATGGGAACATATCCTTAGGTGGGAAAGGACAGGTTTTAATAAGGTGCACTTGATAAAGATGGAGTATTCACGTGTTAAAACATGACACTTTTTAGTAAGCTTCAGAAAAAATGATTTAATGTCAAATAAAGAAAAGAACCAATTATCAACATAATGGACATACCGTTTATTATCATAAGCTGGAGTGAGTGAACATCCACTGCCAGGAGATGCTTTTAGACCTGGCACAATCGACATGATTCTTAGGTAGGAGGGTGCTTAGAGAATTTTCACATGAGTGATGTAAGATTATTGGGTTTTGAGCTTTAAAGAGAACCGCTGGAGCCTGAAATTCATTGAGTGAGTTTATCATGCAGCCAGTGAACTGCACAGGAATGCAGCGAATCCGTGTTATTTATCTTTCTTAGCTTTATATTGATTTTTATTGAGAAAATGTGAATAGACAATACAAAGAGCATAAAGGGTAAACACATGAAAGAGAAATCAAAAGCAAGAAAATGCACCTAACAGTTGACATGTGAAACTCTTTTAAATGAATCTGTGATAAAGCCAGAACCCTTTCAAAGGCATGACTTCTACTGCTTCAAAAAAGTATGTAACTGGAAAGTGACCTGTTAGAGAACAAGCTCTGTTGGGATGAATATATTTTCTCTCAACCAAAAATAGCTTATAAAGGAGCTTATTTTTCTGAATAAGCTACTAAAAGGAATATGTTTTCTGTTTAAGAAGGTTAAACTTATTTGTTTAGCAGATTTCTGTTGAAGTTGGATGCCTAAGTCAGTGAACAAATACTTCAAAAATTATTTGTGATCTAGTAGGGCATGAGGTTTAGTTGAAATTTATGGGATGATGTTGCGAACTCTTCAGGCATGGAAAATGTTTAATTCCATAGTGCTGAGAAGGGGAACAGAGAGAGTGTGAGACTGCAGAGAGTGAGGAGAAAGGGTCTGGAGGGGTAACAGTTTGCTGCAGCTAAGGGGAGCTGAGAAATAAAATGTGACTGCAGGAGGTAACAGATGTTTAAAAGGTCCAAGCTATCTAACACAGTAGTTTCTGTAGGATGGAGGCGGCTTTTGCAGAAAGGCTGGAGCCAGGATGAAACAGATAAAAATCTTCCTAGAATGCCTGACATGCCTCTGCAGAGGCATTGGGACATAAGGATCAAACAGCAGGCAGGAGATGGTGTCTGGCCACTGCTGTTAGTAAATGTACATAGAAAGGGTGGTTAAAAGGATGGGTTAGAAGACAAGAACCTAACTATCAATGAAATACTAGGATTAGGGTTTTATTTGTGAAATGCTTCAGCCACTTCACTACATGTTCTTGAAAACCTAGAAACCTTGAGATGATTAATAGTGAAAATATAGAATATTATTGATCATAAAAATAAACATTTCTTTGATGAAATCTTGACAGGTACTGTTGTAAGACAAGCTGGTAGGAGTACTAAACTGAGCAAATTAAGTTTTTCAACATGAGATTTACATTGTTTGATTCATAGAGCTGAATAAAATTACTGTATTTTTGGCTTAAAGTGCATAAGGTGCCTTTATTTTGGATCTGTGTGTGTTTAACAGCAGCATCTTGTGCAGAAAAAGCAAGGAGCAGATGAGGGTGTGAACAGTGAAATAAATCCATGTCTTCTTGGCTGATTAGCCCAGTTGATGAGCGATAAGTAACTAATGCAGTTTTATTATTTCTAACAGTTTGGGTACGCTTGGATGTGTGGGTTTGTGCCATTAAAACCTGACTTGAAAGTCACTGTTTACACCTGCACAAATAGATATAAATCACTGGTTTGTTTTGTTTTTCCTTTTCTTATTCTGCTGAGGTAGGAATGAGTGGAAGCTGCTAGGTGGTGCCAGGCCAGACTATCCACTCTCAGCATCTGCTTCTGCAACAGTGCAGGCTGTTCTGGTTTGCCTTGAAGAGTTTCCTCTTTGAGAAACAAGGCTGGATCTTTACTTTAAGAAGGATTTCTCAGGTGATTTTACATGATTTAATACAGAGAGAACACAGAGTGAAAGTTTCTTAAAACTGAGAGTAAAGAAGTGTGGGATTCTGGGTGACTAACTTCAAACCTATGGTCTTAAAACATGCTACTTTCAGGAAGGGTGAAAATAGGTTTCCCCTGCTCAGGATTTTGCTGTTGATGAGTCCTGCAGAGTGATGGCCTTGATGGCTCCTATTGTGAGCTGCCGGCCCAGGGATTCACTGACTGCCTAATCCCTTCTTCTTGATGCCCTTCAGAGGCCATTCAGTGAAAATACACAGCTCTCAGGTACCCCCTGTCTAGACTGCCTGAGCATCTTGTAGGCTACTCTTGCTACTTGCTCTTTGGGATTTCCCATGTGGCTTTCATTTTAAAACAAAGGTGAATTTCATCTCTCTCTTTAAAACAGTGATTTGGCTTTTGGCAGTGGAAAAAATATTGCACCACCAGAAATGAGATAAAGTGAATGCTGGAGGACAGAAAGTAAATCTCTGGCTGAAGGATAGGTGAACTGGGGGCAGAGAAGAACATAGCCTTGGCTATTAAATGTTTGAGACTGACAGTCTTGTATAAGCTTGTTGCAGTTAGTCTTCACACAAAATAGTAAACGATGGCAACTCGCTTTTAGAGACAAACTTTCCCATTTGAGTTAAACTGCTATAACTTTATCTCCTTCTAAAGTAGAATATACCTGCTCTCAGGCTCCAGGATCCACAAAGGAATTCAAAGTGACTACCTCAGACCTAGACATCTTACTTTTGGGTGTCCAAAGTTCAGTGAGAAAAACCCCAATTTTTTATGGCCTTTAAAAAATTTTTTTGATCTTGCCCTTCTGATGCTTTCAGTTTTTCTTGCTATATGTCAGCAAGGAGCCAAACAAGTAAGTAGAAATGCTGGGTTACATCTGAAGTCAGTGCAGCTTGCATACCTAGGATGTTATGCTACACCCCTTTTTTCTTTTTGAGGGACGTGCGAGAGGTTGATTTCCTGCCAAACCCTTTTCCAGCTGAATATTTTACCCAAACAAATGGAATTATCCGAGAACAACATCTGTGGGCAGGAAGAAGCTCCAGAAGTATTATGCTGTGCAAGCATATTCTAACCCACCTGTATTGTTATTGTCTCAGCCTAAGCATCCGTCCATGAGCTTTGCAAGAGACTGTCTGAGGAAAGATTGGTTGCAATGAGCCACAGATGTACCAGGTGGTGTCCTGACGATCAAGAGGTATGGATAAACAGGCTGTGCTTTGTATTCTGTGCTTATTTGCTAGTATATAGAGAGCCTTTGTGAAACAGGCAATGTAACAGAAAGGGGGTGGTCCATTTTAGCTAGTTTTTAAGCATAGAAGATCTCTCTCTAAACCTTCCATCTTCTGAAGTTTAACTGACTTCAGGAGAATGGTGATACTATGTAGCCTTGCAGACAACATCTTTCAGTCTGGGCCCTTATTCTGCAAGTTTTGGCTGGTCTTGAACCTCTAATGTTCTTCCTTACACCAGAGTTTGAACCATGGAGCAAGTTACTGACAAAATATACACATGGGTGCAACAGGCCTTGATTTAAGCTGTAATTATGACACCCTTTCAGTACACCTTATGGTGCTTGCCACCAGGTGAGGATCTGACCCCTGAGATGTAGCAAGAAACAAGCCAAAGTGCTGCTACACACCAGAAAAGGGTGAAAAAGTCCCAGAGATTACAGATATCGTGGAATTTTTTTTTCCTTTTTTTTTTTTTTTTGTTGGAACTGAGGGGAGGCTGGGATGAGCAGTGTAAAATCTTAATGAGTAAATTGTGCTGAGCAGTGCAGTTCACCTCTGTTATTCTCCCAGCCTCAAATGTTTACCAGCCAATCAGGGTGTACCTTAAAACCAGAGATTTATAATGAAAAGTCAGCCCTAATTGAATTTTATCATTAAGAACACCATCAAACAGATACAGAACACCTTATACCACCTTGTTTAAATTAGATT